CCCCCAGGCACCCCTCCATACAGCACTCCCCGGCCTCCAACCCCTTCAGGCTCCCTCCCCGTCTGCTCCATCCCTTTATCAATCCCCCACCGGGTGTCCAACCCCTCCCCCCCGCCGGCTGCTTGGTTACTGCTCGCTGCCGCGGTCCAGGCTCTCGATGACGCGGCTCAGGCGGATGTTGAGCAGGCGGATCTGGCCGTCCAGGTGGTCGATCTTGTCCTCCAGAGAGCTGCCGCCCTTCCTCCAGTAGGAGCCCACGGGCCCCGTCATGAAGTACACGGCCATGACGAAGCAGAGGGGCAGCACGGCCCGCTCGGGGTCGCCCTCGAACTTCTGCAGGATGTAGAGGCAGGAGAGGGCGAAGAGCACGACCCGCACCAGCCAGAAGAAGCGGCCGAACGCCACTTGCAGGAGGTAGAACAAACCGCCCAGGAACAGCGAGAGCAGCCAGTAGGCCACCACCACAGAGGCCACCAGCAGCAGAGTCCGGGCTGGGGAGCTGGTCAGCGCAGTCTGGCTGAAGTAGTAGGTCAGGTTGGACGCTGCAGGGGAGACCAGAATTCCGGCGTCAGGGAGCAGCCTGTCCTACAAGCCCAGCGACAGCACTTCTGGGAATGGCACTGAACACTAGAGTTATTTCTGGGACAAACCTGGACTAATAATATCCACCTCTGTATCTACACAGAAGATTGGGAACGCAGGACAATGACAGGCTGGAGGAACTGGACCTCTGTTCTGAACAGAGGAGACGAGGAGGGAACCCGATACAGGTACTCCAAAGCCTCAAACCAGCACATTTTTCCTGAATGAACAGTGAAACACAAACCAGTGGAAATAAATGGAAGCTGAAAATAGGGGGTACTCCTTTACCCAAAAAGTAGTGGGGGTATGAGCAATTCTAGAGCAATGAATTAATTAATTAATAATTAACAAGTCCTTTTTCCTCCCCTCCTATCAAAGCCAATACACTAAGTTGTGACTAAGTGTCCTTATACTGACAGATATCGAATAAATGTGGAGCAGCTCAGTGTAGGACACAAGACAGGTTTATGACAAATAAGAGATACGGTGTGGCTGTTTGTGCAAGAGACTGTGTGTGTTTTTGTTCCTTTTTTTAAACCCAAACCAAGTTGTGAAAACGAGCCTTATCGCCAATATCATCACACTCAGGGTAGCTGAAAAACACACTTCCTCCACAGCGCCCCCATGAGGCCGGTCTGCATGAGGAAGTGAGATGGTGTTCTGCTCTTATGTGCTCCAAGACTTCTTCGACCTAAGATGAAGCAGCTGTGGGAGGTGCCGTTGTTTGATTTGGGGAGGGGAGAGTTGAAATTAACGTGACAAACGTCTTTACAACTCCTCTTCTAAGGACTTCCTGCCTGCTGTGGAGAGGGGTCAGGACCGTCTGCGATGGGCTAGAATTTGCCATAATTAAAAACCCGGCAAACAGGATCTTAATTCTGTCGTGTCCTTCGAATCCTAAAACTCGGCGTCGAGCTTCTGGAAGTACAACTGGCACTACTTCTCCAAAAGCGCTCTGAACTCCATTGCACAGCAGATACAACTAATGGAGCACTGCACACACTGACCAGCCAGTCTAACATGTTTGTCAATCAGAGTTAGGACATCATGTCATTAGGGTGGAGATTGCACATCACTGCAGATAAGAGTTTAAGAGAGAGGCTATTCAGCTCATCTGGCCTGTTTGGTAGCGTGCAGCTAATAGAACCCAAGATCTCATCCAGCTGTTTCTGGAACGATACCAGGGCATCAGTTTCAACAACATGGCTGGGTAGCTATACTCTCACCACCATTCGGGTACATTAGCACCTTCTGCTCTCAGTTTTAAACACACTTCCACATACTTTCCACCTGGACCCTCATTAGACTTCCCCTGCATGGATTTACGACACTTAAGGAAAATGTTTGTGTTGGAGAGCGTATCGCTACTGGGCATTTTAACGCAGAGAGAACCTGTAACATATGCAGCGAGGAAAAAACAAAAACTTACAGTCAATTCCAAGAACATCGAGAAGATCGGTCCATATCTTCCATATTGTGTCCAGGAACGCGTCCACACCATAGACGAAGCGCTCTGTTGTCTTCGAAAAGAACTGAAGGACAAATGAGAGGTTAAGAACATGAAAGAGGACAACGCGTCTCTCACGCAGCCCATTTTGTTTAATCGATCCGAGGATGTCATCCAGCTATTTCTTGCAATGCGGTCTTCAACGACATAACTGGGCAGCTTGCTCCAGTCCCCCGCCACCCTCTGTGTAAAGACATCACCTGTTCTTAATTTTAAACGAGCTTCAACTCAGTTGATCAGGTTTGTGTCCTGTGGTTGGCTGAGATGAGACAGTCAATGCTCACTGACTACCAGGTCAATTGGCTAATGTAGTCAGTGAACCCCACACCTGGCCCCTCACAGACATTATCTCCTCCTGGGGGTTCGCTCTAGCAGGTGAAGCAAGATTTAATTAGGTCAATTAGCTTGGCTTCTCGTTAACATCTATCAGCTCTCTACTCATACAGGACCCTGGTCTGATACCGTTTTGTAAGTCATTTGGCACGGCAAGATGTATATTATTATTGTTGTTGTTGTTGTTAAATAAAAACAATAATATTAGTTTTATGAACACTGCAGTGAAGGCCGATTTTCCCCCAATGCTTCCCAGTCTCGTGATGGTTTCTAGATGTAAAGTATTTCAGTTGTTTCCCATTTGTACAGGGCCGCCAGCGAGACATCACGCGAGAGACAGTTCCGCCTTTGACCGATTCAGACGAGACAAAATCGTTCAACCCCCTGAAGTTTTCCGTGAATCTTAATTACTCCCAATGACATCACAGCTTCAATCCAGTAGGGAATTTCCCCGTTCCTCGTAGGCGCTTTAGCGTATGTCTGAGGACGGCACTCAGAGAACTGTATTTTGGAACTTCAGATGCGGTATATTGGCATTTCCAGGTCAGCTGCCAACGCTGTGAAATCGGAAAACAACCAATACAGTCCTCAGCCCTGCAACGTCGGGGAGGTTAAAAAAAGGAAGCAATAATAAAGTGCATTAAAAAAAAAGATTTCACATTGTTGGGTACATCCATGCACGCATTTCACGGGCCAGCCCGACTCATTCAATCAATACTGGCGAATCAATGATCAAAATGGCAACCGAGACCCGTCGGTCTCCGCCGCGCGATCCTGACCCCTCGTATCACCGTATCTCGCGCAACGGTGCGTCGATCGAGAACCGGGGGGGACACGCGCACTGACCTTATGCAAGGCTCTGATGTTGTCCTCTCCGAAGATGCTACTCAGGGTCTGGTAAAGACCATTCGCCGCCCTTCTAAAACTGTTCTGGCTGCTGGAATCCTTCCGGCTCCGAGCCGCTTCTACACACTGCAGGGATGCGAGGAGAATGGCGATTATGGCAATCAACCTAATTACCTTCATGACTTATGACTATCAATAGTATGCACGTATTTTTTTTTTCTTTCTGTAGAGGTAAAATAATTAGCTGTACGTTAAAAAAAAAAGACACCACAGCAGCAATCCCGGAAGAACGTGTTTCCGACGAAATGGTTACAATGTATTCAGAACTTCCGCCTTCCTGCAGAGATGTGAACTCTGACACCTGGCGTTGAGAATAGGAATAGCACTCCCTTTCCGCTTCATAAAAATCTGGTTTTAATGTTTGTAAATCTAAATGTTTCGGTTGAGTGTTTACAATAATAATAATAATAATAATAATAATAATAATAAT